TCTTTGCCATCGTGATCCTGTGGAGCAGAGTCCAAACTTTAGCAAAGAGGGTCGCCTTTCTACAACACCGAGTTGAAGAAGGTGCTCAAATCCAGCAGAGGTCTCTGGAGCAACAAGACAGGGAGAATTCCATGACGGTTGACTAAGTTGACTATGTGGAACGCGTCCACAGAGGCCTGATCAATGCTGGAGGACATGTAGAAGACCCCTCAGTGCAAAGAGTGGAGTGGCAAAGCTTGAGCTATGTCGAGGAGGGCAACAGATGGCATGATGGCCTAAGATTGAGGAAGAGGTGGAACAAAATGAATGTGATCGAAGAAGAACGAGGAGATCAGCTACCAGGGGCTGGCATCTACCGCATGGACATTGATCCGGGAGAGCCGGGATTGAGTGGCGACAATGTCATTCTGGTGCTGGACAATGGTCGAGTGGTCCAAGTGCCAGTGGAGTATGTGGAACCAGCTGCGAGTGGAGCGGCTGGAGAACGAAATGCAGAAACTTCGATGACTGAGCCGGAACCATCGCCAGGAGAAGAGGTACAAGATGAAACTATGGGCAGTGAGCACGAAAGTGCCCCGGAAGTTGTAGATGCTCCCTGGGAACCAGAGAGCATCAAAATCCCAGATCCCCAATTTGGCCATTTCAATAGAGCCTACAAGTGAGCAGATCTCACCGCTCGGGAGGAAGTTTTGAAAATGGAGGCCAATTGGTTCCATGGACATAGGAATGGTGCAAGAGATCTTATACACGAGATGCAGGACCTAATGGCCGGATCTGTGCACCATATCCACGCCTTTGACCCATAAGGGGTTGGACCAAAAGTAAGAACTCATTGGTCCAAAGGAGGAGCGCGAGAGTTGAATGAATATACGCACCCTCCACAACATGTGATAGCAAGTGCACTCATCAAACGATGACGCGCGCAAATCAAGAAGTATGTACGACAGACCGCTCTGGTTCGAAGGAAAGACGCTTCGCAGATCCCTATATAAGGAGATATAAAAAGAGGTCCGGAGCCGCGTAGCAGCAGGCGAGGGATGGCCACAGGCCAGCCCTGCTGCCCTGTAGACTGCCCAAAACGGGCTGGTGTCGCCGCAGGGTTTCAGGGCGGGCAAACAACAGCCCGTAGCAGCAGCGCGGCTAGGCCCGGGTGCAGGCGCAATGCTGCTGCGGAGCGTTCTATTTCTGCGCGCAACAGCGGTCGGAAAGGGTGCCAGACGGCAGCGGCCAGGGTGTCTAACGTTGCTTTTGGAGCCCTTTGGAAAAAGAGGTGTGGAGCCGCGTAGCAGCAGAGGTGATGGCCACAGACAGGTCCTGCTGCCCTGTAGAAAGCCAAAAAAGGCTGGTGCCGCCACAGCCTTCCCCCATCTAATTCTGCGCGCAAACGGGTCCCAGACGGCAGCAGCCAGTCTCTCTAACGGTGCTTTTGGAACCCTAGGTGCGGAGCCCAGGACAAGTCCTCGCCCGGCTGGAGCCTGCAAAAACCATGCCCAAAGGGCGACTGCGCTTGACACTGCAAGGCACATCCACTGGCAACGGCTTCCACACTGCAAGGCACATCCAGTGGCAACAGCTTCCACCCTGCAGTGTCCCAGGCGCCGCCCCGCCTAGGCGTCAGCTAGGCTGGAATCGGCGGATATATAGAATTATTTTTTGGGGGAGTCACTGAGGAACCATGTGCCTCAGGTGGTATTCTTCTATGCGCAAGAGCTGATGAATGATGACTATACGGAATTGAAGAAGATCAAGAGTGCCTGTACGCGACACTTCAGCACACGCGCGGAGGCCACGGAAGAATGTTTGCGACTTGTCGGTCCGTTTGCACCGACCAAATTGGAATCCCCCAAGTTCTTGCTTCTCACTTTCCTGAAGTTCCTGACCTTCCCCGAAGTGGTGAATCGATGGGGACAAACAGTCAAAGCCATCTTCCTGGTGCGAGATCCAGCTGACTATTTGTGGGCCGCGTTCAATTATTGGAGAATCGATATGGATACGGAGCCAGATGAATTTAGGACCACCAACACGTCCTATCGCAGTCCAGAGCTTTTTCATGAGTTGCTCTTGGCGGAGGGTCGTCTCTCGTGGATGCTGGGCACAAGCGGGCGAACGGCCCAATGGTGGTTCTTGGTGCAAAATGGAACACTGCAAAAGATCGCAAAGAACCGGTTACTTCTGCGTTCCGAAGATTTTCTGGTTCCAGATCTGACCATGCTGGCCATGGGCAAGTTGGGTACTTTCACTGGCTTAAGGCTGGGAGGTTTTGACTCCTCTGCCCTCAGCACCAGAACCAACTCACAATATTCCATCTTTACTAGGGGACAGGGCGCCGTAGTTGAGCAGGCAGATGTGCCAGATGGTGTGTATGAGATCTCTGGTTTTCGGCCAATGCTTTGTAAGTCTCGCCGGCTCATCTACCAGAAGTCTCGCGGACTTTGCCAGGTTTTAGCAACTAGTGACTCGATCGAGCGAGTGTTTTTGAGTGGAGACACTGAAAAAACCCATTCTATATACCATATCCCTTTCTCCTTTTCGGATCAGAGGAGGAAAAATATGTGGAAGAAGCTGACAACACTTTTGTTGGGTCACGACTGCCCAGTAAGGATACAACATCACTTACATGGCTTGCCTGTCCAATGGGACAACATGTGGAGAAGAGAACAGACCGACTGGTCGGGGACAGATGCCCATCATGGTCCCAATCTTCAGTCGGTGTGATGCGGATTTGGCGGTTCAGATCTGTGTGGTGCTTCTGAAGCTGAGCTGCCAAGTCACATGAGGATTCCAACGATTTTTTGTTCAAAGCTAATAGCGATGGCCTCCAACCTTATAGCGATGGCCTCCAAACTATTGCGCAAATATGGTTTGAATTGAACCCCCCCTTGGTCGTTTCGATTGGAAAAGGGGGGGCGTTGGAGACCATCCCTGACAGCTTCCACATTCGAGAGCAGAACACAGGAATTCTGTCACTCACATGTCTTTTCTTGGGTATATGGGTCGACAGGCCGAAGAACAAGGCAAACACATCACAGGCAGAAATGCTCCCCCCAAGTTCGGGAGACCGAGGCAAAAAAAACACATTTCTTTCTTTTCACAATGATCTGACACCGAGGCACAACTTGGTTGATCCCCAATGCAGGAACAATTTACAGCGAGAAAACACGAATGCACGGAAGGCACAAAAGCAAGAAACTAAGGGCGTGGCCGAACAAAAAGCAAAGCTGGTTGCGGATTCAAGTACATCAAGAGGTGCTTAATTACGAATTTGAAAAAGCGGTGGTGTCGTCAACGTAAAGGACAGATCGTTCCGTGTTTTCTTTGTGCTGGTCAGAGTGTTCTGAAACCAGCGTGCAGCATTCAGGCCACCTACAAGTGAATACCGGTTCGCAATGCCTGGCTTTACTGAAGAAAAACCTAATTTGCGTGCCGACAAAGCTTTGGTACCATATGCGAAAGGCATGGCGATGACCCCTTTGCGAACAAGCATATTGAAACAAATGGCGAAGGTGCTCAGTGCTAGTATCCCGTGCCAAGGTGGGAGAGACATGATACACACGCGGATTGCGTTTGGAAGCGTACCTAGCAGCAACCCCACTCGTCTTAGTCCCAAGAATGAGTGTTGGGGCTAGTGTATGTGCGTGCGCAATGAAGTCGATATGTAATACAATTCACACCAAGGGATGTCATTTTCACACCAAGGGCTGTCTTGAAAAAGACAACAACAACAAAACATCAACAACAACAACAACAACATCCAGCTTCTATATATATAGTTATACCTAGATCCTCTAACGGGCTTTAATATCTGCCTTTTGCTTAAAATCTGCCTTTCTACGAAAAAGGCAGAAAAAACGCCCTCGGGCGGATCTTCCAAATCAGGTGGTTTCAACGAGGAGCCGTAATTTGCAAACTGCAAGGCTCAAAAAACAATAGAGAATTTCTGGGGTTAAGGCGGAACTTCCCGGCATTCGGGCGGAACTTCCCGGCATTCGGGCGGATTTACCCGAACACCCTGTTTTGTAATATGTTGTAATCATGATTCATGACTTTGTTTGGCACTGATGTGTTTTACAAATTCTGAATTTCTGCAACTGCCTTCGGGCAGAAATTTCTGCCTCAGGCGGAAATCTGAGGTTCGAGCAGAAAAAACAGCCTGAAACCATGCCTGAGGAACATCCAGGTATAGATCGAACCTTTTTCAGTTGTTCTTGTTTTGCTTTGGCGCAAGAATAGCACCGGCTAGCCGAGGATCGGTTTCTTCGCATGCTCTCTTTGGCGCAGCCCGCCTTCGCGAGAGTGAGGATTCTTCGACGCGACGCCTCGCGTTGCTCCGCGACGAGAATCGCCAGAGGAGAAGCGCAGCAAGCGCAGAATTCACCCACTGTGGTCATGGTGCTGGGTGGAAAAGGCCTGCCCAGCTTGCACCGCGTCCCACCGGCTGCGGGTTGAACCGCCACCCTGTTTCGGTGGAGAAGGTCAGCCCTGAGCTCGCATGAGAGAGGAGCAAACAGCGGCATAGGCGCGCCATGGTGTTGCGACAGACGCGGGGACCACGCGGGGACTGGCAGCATGGTATTTTTCTATTCCAAACAAGAACATCGGAACAACATCATCTTGCCAAGCAACAATACCATCAAACTAGGTTTGCTTAGGATACTTGCATGTACTTAGTCTATATCTTCCGGATATTGGTGGGTGAATCTCCCTTTCAACATGTGTTTCTTTTAAATCTTTCACCAGCATCCCCACCGTCCCCACCGAACATCCAGCCCCTTCTCGAGAGACCAGACACAACCAGCCAACATCCACTGACCGAGCCGTATTCAAGCGAACGATGAAGAACTAACTCCCCCCATGCAGGACATCCTCTCCATGTGGAGGATTTATGGTCCTCGAGAGTCTACAGTCAATGGTGCCTCAAAAAAAGACACGTGGATGTAAGGCACGTGCTGCGATTCCTTTGTTTTTCCTGCTCGGCCTTTGTTTTTTCCTGCTAAGCTGAGGATATTTGCCGAAAAGTATCAACCTCAACCAGCCGTCGCCGATGCTGTTGGAATGTCGGCACCCAGTGAAATTCGTGGCAGCTGGAGGTGAGGAGAGTGGGTGGGTAGAGTCGGTGAGGAAGGGGTGGGAGTTCGGTGCAAGAAAAAGGAAACAGCACCACAAGGACATATACCCTAGGGCTCCAAGTACCTCCTCAGAAGGTATTTGGATTTGGACCGTCTAAACTCACCCAAACACCTTCTCAGAGGGTACTTGGAGCCCTGGGGATAACTACCTAGAGAAGCCAAACTCTCTAAACACGTAAAGCATGATGTTCGTGGAAGAAGCACGAGGATAACTGAGCTGGTCGAAAAGTTGCTGTTCTCTAGCCATCATATTTGCTTTCTTTTACGGGTTTCTGCGGGTTTCCACAGGTCTTCTATGGATTCTTACACTTGCCAAAACACTATGTTTTCTGAAAACATTGTTTTAAGACATGCCGGTTCTTGATGCTCTATAAGCAATGGAAGCAGGACACAATAGATAGGGTTTCGGGGCAAAGCTTCATTGGGCTTCACAGGGCCCATACTTCTCCTGGGGGGAGTTCACAGTTTGAAGCTTTGGTGGTGCTTGGCTTGAACAAACGCACAATAGAATAGTATCAGTATGATTGAAACTATATATATATATGTGTAATGTATATTATTGATATGTTGTACTTTGTTGTTATATGATGTTTTATACATATTAACTTATTACTATATATATATATTCATTGCATTTTATGGAGGTTCATGGACCCTCAAACCGCTATGTGTGAGGTCCTGCACCCCTGGACCGCAATGGTATTTCCGGGTTCGGACGTGATTTCACCTCGAGGCGACGCGATGGGTTCAGCCGGAGCTTCGATGGGCGAAAAGAGGTCCCTCTCCCCACCCCCCCTGGGGTCCAGACACCCGATCTCGGGCTGGTCGTCCACGGCTCACGTCGTCCCTCGGCTCCAGGCTATCACAGTGCGCTGGTGACGACGTGTGGGCAGCTCTACCTTTGGGGGAGCTGCTCGGAGTGAGGGAGCGCGGAGGTTCGGTGGCGCTGGTGGAGTTTTTTTTTTTGGCACGAAGGAGAGCTGGTTGGGAGAGCTTTCACGAGCTTCTCGTTGCGTCCTTTTTGCTCCATGAAAGATGGACGTGAAAAGAACCGTTTCTTTGGAAAGAGGATGGTCCTTTAAAGGGCCCCCAAAGACCTCGTGCATGTGGGGAAGGACGCGGCAGAGGATTCCATGGGGATCACCCTATGTTCAATAGATCAGTCCTTCTCCCTAGCCTTCAGTTCGACCATTGAATGGTTGACCTGGTGGTGTAGTGTAAAAATCGTAAGACAATGGTTCTTTGGGAAGTCGACCCTTAAAATCAATGGTTGGCCACGAATCGTTTCTTGAACACACTAGTGGGGGCTCCATGGCTCCCCCATTTTTGCGACAACCGGCAAGCATGGAACCACAGCCATGTGATGCCATCTGTTTTAACTTTTGGCAGCAATGGATGTTTTTAAATACACTTTTTCAGATGGAAAAACACATCCACAAAATTTTGTTTAAACTTTCTAACCATTTTTCAGATGGTTTGTTTCTCCGTCTTCCTTCTCCCCCCCGCGTGCCAGGCCCCATGGCTGACCCACGGATCGGAAAACATGGTTTGTTTGAAAGGTGGGTACGAGGGTCCCGGGTCCGACCCGGCAATGAAAGACCCAATGTAGCATAGTCATATACAGGATCTGGGGTCTCCAATTTCAGGGACCGGGTTCCCGGGCTCCGTAGAAAAGCGAATCTGTGAACAGAGCTTTTGACATGATTCATCAGCGGAGACTCCGCTACTCCGAGCCGGACTCCACTGTCGAGCCGGACTCGACCGGGTTGAAGTTGGGCGTTTTCTCGGTCTCCGAAGCGGTCCAACTGGGCTTAGCGGTTCGAAGCGTTTTTTTGGAGATCTCAACACATTGCACGGTGAAGGCCCCGGGTTCAGTCCCAACCAGAAACCCATTCCCAGGCAGTTCCTAAATGAAAGATCTCAAGCTGGCGCCATCTTGGAACGAACTCGAACTGTTTCTGGTTCGGGTTCTCCAGGTTTAGCTTCTATCTACGTTCCTTCCGACTTCTGACTTCTCCCTATTCCCAGCCACATCCGCCTCCCCACGGTCGAGGCAATAGCTATGGCCAGCTGGGCCTGGGATTGAAGAGGGATGAGCTGGCCTTCGCGGGTCAGCCGCGGCCGGTGGACGTGGAAGGCCCGGACGCCTGGCGCGTCACCCGCGTCACCCGCGCGCGTCACGGCGTCCCGAGACGGTGGAAGAGCGAGCGGTCGGTCGGGCCCTTTTGGGGTTGATGTGGTGAACACCTGGATCATTACCTGGAACCCCAAACAACCAGAAAGAAATGGATGTTTCCCCAAACAACCATTTCCCATGTAAGAATTATTTTTTTAATTTATGTATTGTTTCTACTGGCTTGTTTCTAATAGCAAACATTGTTACTACTTACTAGTAAAAGGGCCTTGCTCCGTTCGTAGCGATGCACTTGTTCCTAGTAGCTTATTGTTTCTATTTATATATTGTTTCTACAAGCTTCTTGTTCCTAATAGTGAGCCCCTAGTAGCGTCCATGAACCCCATACACATGAACCCCATGAACATGACCCTAAAATACACGACGATTCCATATTGTCTGAGTAAAATCGAAGGCAGCTTCAACTAGGCACCGGTGCTTTTTGTTTTGGATGATTTCAAGCAGCAAATGAGTTGGAGACCTTTCAGTTACCCTGCAAATGCCGCACTTGACCTGGGGACTTGCCAGGCGCCCCTTTAGCGAAAGAAACTGCGAGTAACATGGGCTTTTTCATATCCCTACCCAGTCAGTGGATAACCTTTTTTGGGGGTTGGTTTCCCCACTAAACAAGACGAACGGTGGAAACAGGTTAACCTTTTCTCTGAGGGAAGACTGAGGGAAAACTGTATCCTTCATCCGTTCGCCTGGTGCCGTGCAGTCAGCTGAACGGAACCACTCGGGGCGGTTTAGGACATTTTGCAACACGTGACTTCCACGCTGTAATAAATGATAACCATATATGACACACATAAAAATACCTTTAATAGCTATATATACCAACAGAGGTTAAGTGACCTTGTAGGACACCACAGGGGTACCTATGGGATAGCCTATAGGGTCTTTCAACCTATATATATATATTGCATTGAAGATGTCGACACTTGGACCACGTGCGGACCGCCAACCACCGCGTCCCTGATGGCCGGCCTCTTTATTCCACCGTGCCACGGCACGTGAGACGATCCTCCCCGGTCCAGGCGCGCTTTCCGTGGGCGACGTGTCTCACGCGAGTCCCGTGGTCGCTGGAGTCTCGCTGGGCGGATTGCACAGCGCCTTCCTCGACGCCCAGGGCGCCGTCTACACCTTCGGCGACAACCGACGTGGCGGGGGGGGGTCCGAGCTCGACACTGTAGACGGGTACCGCGTGCCGCGCGGATCGGGGGGGACTGCGTGTGGACTGGACGGATGGACTGCGGTCGGCGACCTTGAAAGGGGCGTATGCAGATCCGGAAAGCGATCTGCAGCTTGGGAAGCCACTGTACCCAGCAAGTCCAAAGGACGGGTTAAACTGGTGCGTTGACCCACTGGGGTACGTAGTACGGAGTGCTACTGGTCACACAGCTTGGGCAACTCGTAGAGTAAAATCTCGAGTGGTCAGTCATTAGTCGAGGGGCTACTTCACGGGGGCGCTTCAAGAGTGTCCTGATGCGCCAGCCCAATCAACCAGAGCAGTTCAGCTATGGGCCCACACGAATGGTCCAGTGAGAGAAGAATCCCGCATAACGAACATTTCCAAACAAGTTGCAGATACTAAATGGTGGGTTAGATCCGTATAGGGGTTAGATCAGTAGGGGGTTGACCACTAGAAAAACAGACAATCATGAGTCAGCGATTCCAAACGGCCGTTTGCGGCCATCCGTTTTTCACGCACCGCCGTCTTTGTTCACCTGTCTCCGTGTGGCTACACATGTCTCCGCTCGGCCAGGCCAGTGTGGCCAGGGTGAAGTGACCCAACTCTCTGCGCCGGAGAGGCTTCAGGACAGGCCCGCTGACTTCGGTCGCGATCTGTCTCGATCTGTCTCGATTCGTGGGACACTTCGAGAAAAACCGGAGAAAGGTCGCGAAAGCCCCGAAGAGCAAGGGAGCACGAACCGCCTTCTACTGGTCGTTGGAAAGTGACTTCTTCCAATTCTAAGTGTTCGAATAGAATAGAATGTGCTCAGTGGACAATTCGATTCCTTTTTTTTGGGGAGAGGAACAATCGAAATGGGATCATTTCAATTATTTTCAATTTAAGGTATTAGGGGGTCTTTGGCTTGGGGATTAACATGACTGATTAATTCAGGTTTTGAGTCAGATGGCCGACATTTCTGGACTTGGCGACCTCGCCGGACGAATTAACTCGTGCGTGGAGTGTGACATAGTTGAGACGGGTCCTTGGATAGTAGACCAAACCCCAAACACTCCACATATGGTATAACTTGGGTCTGTCCTATTACCATGTAAGAATATCATCATCATCATCATCATCATCATCATCATCATCATCACTGTAGGTTTGGAGGGCCCAAGTACCTTTTGGGAAGGTACCAGATGGATCTCATCCAAAGGCGCCGTTCCAACATGTTCCAACCAGATCAGACTGAAACAGTTCTGCCAATCAGAGATGACCACCACGAAGGAACACGCCGAGCTTCGGCCGCGGCCGGAAGAAACCGACACCAGTGAATCCCAGGTTGCCACTGGATAAGGATCTGGGGTTTCGTTCGGCTTACGGCTAAGTCTATGGAACCACTGGTTACCTCCAGGCACTCCATGAGACTGGCATATTTACATACTACATTGGGGTGGTGTCAGTTTCAGGGGCCAATGGGGCGGCATATATTCCGGTCCCAGGCAGGTCGTGTTTGGGTACTATTTTGAGTCCCCAAATGGAGTGCTGTTCGGCATGGATTTGGTCCGGCAAAACATGGCTCCCATTGGAGTGTCCCATCTTCCGGCCATGGTCCCATTGATTCCATGTTGGTCTCATGGTTTTGCCCTGGATCGATTCACGTGTCTCAGTGCTTCGGCCCCTCATCAAGGAGTTGCCCCGAGCTGATGGTGTCTCCTGTGGAGGTGAGCTGGGCAGGGTCGTTTCACCGTACGTCCGACGCGGGAGGGTCTGGTCATTCTATTTTCGACACCACGGTGGCTTGTGTGTGTGGTAGTTTTAGGTTATAGGTCGACCTAATCATAAGGCAAGTGCTTCACTGAAGTACTCCCCCTTGATGCTTCATTCAGATGAAAGGATCGACGTACTTCGTCTCACATCGACCAGGATCGACCAGGGCTCGCGCTTCTCAAACCAAAAGACTTTGCCCAGGCAAAGGCATATATGAGCTACGGCCATGGCTTTCCCCAGGCTAAGGCCATGAGTTTTGCAGGAAATTACAGTCCCTTTTCCAGCACCTCATGGTTACGTGGATGGCACGGCCGAAAGAATGACCATGTTCCGAAGACCACCTGAGTAGGTGGTTTGCACTCCACGTGACCATGATGTGCTTCAGGGAGTGTACAAGCATCCAGGTCCAGGGATGTTTCTACCAGATTTTGAAGTGAAGGTTCGTCCAAACATCCCCGCAACCCCCAGTCCGAGCCAGAAAGAACTTGTTGGGAACCCGCTGTTCTTTTGACTTTGACGCTTCTGTGACAGCAAGACAATAAACATCAAAAAACCGTATAATATGTTATCTTTGAAAGAATGCTGACACCTCAGTCTATATTGCTGTGGGTCAAAAGCGACCCTGGTTGACCACAGTTGACCACCGAAAATGAACAGGATAGACTGCCAGCCAGGTCAGCTTACCATGGATTAGCCCAGACGCGACCCTGGACCCTCATATGGAGGGCTCGGATATGGAGGGCTTGTCTGTCTCAATCCTTAGGTTTTGAGGGACCAGGGGGCTGCTTGGAGCGTCTGGGTATATTCTCTTTCCAGTGGCGTCTGGCCTCATCCCTCTCCCTCCGTCACTATCCCCACACGGCTTTGTCACAAGAACTGTTGTTGTGGTGGGCAGCCGCAGCCCTAGCCCCGGCCTCGGAAAGCAACGTAAACAAATACAGCAGCAGGAGAACAGAAAGACCACAGGACAACATGAGGAGCACAACAGAGGGCAAAAGGATGAGGGAAAAAAGAGGAGGACAAGGAGGACAAGAGGAGGAAGAGGACGAGGAGAGGACACGGAGAGGACAAGGAGAGGACAAAAAGAATACAGCAAACGGACAAGGGCTGGAGACGGGTCAGCAGCCGCGCCAAGCTGGAAGAAGGACAAGAAAAGGACAACAGGTAGACAAGAAAAGGACAAGAAGACAACAGGCGGACATAGGGTTCACCGCCGCCGCCAAACTGCACACTAGAAGGACATGAAGAAGACAACAGGCGGACAAGAAGAGGACAGAGAGAAGGACAACTCGCGGAGACAGCGTTCACCGGCGCGGCCAGAGACTGTGGGGTTCGCCAGAAGCTTTCAGGGTACACGACTTTTTGGCACGATGTGATGGACATTTGCACCCACTCTCGAATCTCGTTCCCCTAAGAATCCCTCCAGACCTGGCTTGGACGGTCCGTGCCATAGGGCCCATGAGGGCCTGTCCGGATGCTTATTAGGGTCACGACCTTGGTTTGTTGACGTACCTGAGGGGCCCTGGAACACTGACGTTTTGGTGTGTGGAATATCCCCATGTCATCCCATGTCCACTTGTTCTTCCTCGCTTACACCGATTGTTTTTGAGTTCTTTTTAGTTACAACAGGTTTCTCCCATGGGAGGTCTCAGAAAACTGGTCCACTCACCAAATGTGATGGACAGAGGCCAAGCAAACTTCGGAGAATGGACAGAGGCCACCAAGAGAGTGGCAAGGCCCATAGCATGTCCCAGAGACTCAGTCCATGGGACTGGAATATTGGAATATATGAATGCCTGAGGCCAGAAGCCACCCCAATGTAGGCAAACATGCGAGTCCATGGGGTGTTTGAGTTTGGTTTGTCCTATTCCCATCATCAGGATGATCACCTTTTCGTCATCTAGCTCACGAGCTGTCACTAGCTTGATCCGCTTTATGGCACCAATTTTTCACTTCACCATATCCTCATTTCTTTCACCAAGAAGGCCCTAAATGAGCCTAAATGGGCTGATTGAGGTGAGTGGGAAGGCATTGATCATTCCGGATTCTTCCCATTCTCCACCTCTTTTGAATCAATCTTCTCCTCTCCTGAGTCTTTCTTGGGGGCACCCATCTCCATTGAGTCTGTCCTAGTAAACCTGTAAGAGTCAGTAAACAAGAACATCACTATTTTTGAACAAGGCCTAGACAAACCTGGCCCCATCATCCACTGAAACCTGGTAAGAACGGATAGACTCGTCCCATCTAGACCAAAAGGATGGTGCCTTGGGCAGCTGGGGCGCTAGGCTTCTTCTCCTTCTTCCAAGTGGCCGATGACCTCTACGCCTGTGGCTGGGGAAAGGCGCGACCTGTAGCTTCTCGGGTCGTGGAATGGGACATGACATCGGACCTGCGAATCGGTGGAAACGGTCCTGGAATCCGATTGACGCCATTTTTTAAGGATGTGTATCTGTTTTTTGCCCACGTTCAGTATTTATGCGAAGAGTGCAGGTGTTTGTCCCGTTTACGATGTGAGGAGATGATTAAGCGCTTTTTGGAGTGTTCAGGCAGATCCAGTGTAGACCAGAAGAGTGCTCGCCCCCCTTTCCCACAGCCTATATAGGGTGTCTCCACTGGATTAAGGGACCCGGAGCCAAAACGTCGATAGTCCTCGGAGTCGAAGCAGACTCGGCCACACCCGAAGATGGAAGAGGATCGATGCTTCAGTATCATTCCAACGCCCTTAAAAAGTATTATAAAGTCCTAAGTTAAGAATCCTTGGACCCTCAAACACATAGGGTTTTGAGGTTTTGGACCCCTGCCATGGAGGGTCCGACCAGTCGCCATGGAGGGCCCCAAGGATTATTAGGGAAGATGAAGATAGATTTAGCAGGTAGTAGGATGCTTCTTGGGTTCAGGGATTTGGGGGTGGATCTTTGAGAGAAATCGGTTGATGGATGTTGCTGGTGGATTTTCACGGACAGCACGGACACTCCGATCTTGACTGGTGGACCTTCGCAGCAGGACATGCGGACCTTCGATGACTGGTTGATTCGTGGTGACTTCTGAGTCCAGAACTGTTTCTGGTTGGGACTGAGTAGACCTAGGTGGTGGTCATCTCTGGGTCAGTCAGTGATGATCGGTGGTCATCTCAGATTGGCGCCACGACAAGTTGGAGTGGTTTAAAATAGGTGTTCTTCAGCGGTGCTGACACCTCTCAAGAATCGATACTTGCACGCAATCGTATAAATGAACTTGTAACATCAGAGCCAGGGGATAAACACTTGAACCATCAGAGAGGGGGAGGGGATCTTTTTTGGGACTCGCATTCAACAATCCGACCCCCTCAAGATTCTCTTCCGCTCATACATGTCGCGCTGTGAAGAGCTGCTCCTTTTGCTCTTTTCCTATGCGAACGGGTCAAAACCTGGAGCCCTGGTCCACAATGTAGCTTGGCCTTCCAGGTATAGGTCCAACCAAGGTATCCTGGTCACTCCCTTCAAACCCGGTACCACAGTGTACCAAGGTATATATATATATATATGGGAAGCGCGTCGAGAGTGTCCGCAAGTCCTGCTACAAAGGTATCCTGGGTTTGACCCAGAACCATCATATTATATGAGGATTGGGAGTAGATGGCACAGACCCCAAGTTCGGTGGTTTATATGGACCCCCATCTGTTCAGGACATCTTGGGGTCCGTGCCATCTACTCTGAAACCACTGTATATGAGGATTGGACAACATCTAAGTGTGGGAGGCTCCTCCCTCCGTTGCCTCCGTTGCGTCCGTACGGCCCGTATAGTCCGGCACTTGAAGGGGGCGTCACACGCCCCACGCCCCGTTCTGACCCCTCCATCCCTAAGAGGACAGTCCTCCAACTCTGGTCCATTCATCGACATGCATGGGTTTTGGTTACTCTGCCATAATGGGTCAGGATGTATGTAGGTGGTTGACACCACGTTGAAATTAAATCGCGGTTCATGTGCGCTACCACGTGTGACACCACCCTCAGTGTGCCAGAAGGTCGGATCCCTTGACGTCACATCCTCAAAACCATTCCTGCAGGTAACACAGTAACCCGGTCCGGATTCTCTGGGTTACTGGTTGGCTTCGATCAACTTCGATCTTGGATAGGAAGAAGGACTCCCTCCCCGCCAGGAGGGCTGCTTGGGCTTCGGGCAGCTTTGCAAGAAGCAGTTGCGGGTGCGCCGTGTGCCACCTCCGCAGAGAGGTGGGCTTCACCGTCGGTCGGAGTTGTTGCGTGGTGTTGGAGCGGTCGCAGTTGGTCAAGGGGATGAGGGCAAGCAGAAATCAGTAGTTGGTCGCCCCCACGTTCGTGAAAAAGAGGTTTGGGGGGGTTTACAGCAAGGAAGAGGACAGAGCTATTAGAAGCGTCGTCCCGGTCGTCACGAAGACGAAGACGGCGTCAGACACGTGGCCTGACGATCGAGAAATGCATGACGAGCACTGACCGCTCGCAGCGAGTCATAGGATCCCTTTTGGGCTCCAAGCACCGAGGGTCACCTACGGTGATTGGGGCCCCTCCATGGACATGACATAGGTCTTTCTCCACCGAACCTGAGGATATGCCAGGAGCCCAAAGGGGTTCATCTACACTTTGCATTTTGCATCAGAAGGATGTGTTTAGCCCTAGGGATCCAGTCGTATCTCCTCAGAAGGCACTTGGACCCTCCAAACCTACAAAACAGTGTCGAACACATCACCGTACCTGAGAAGGTACGACTGGATCCCTAGGTGACTGGTGACCTCGGCAAACCTGTTCCTTCACTTATCAGGCCGCTGGCTGCAGTTGCGCGCTGGCCCCTCACATGTCGCGGCGATCGTGGCAGACCCAAAATGACCGGGGCGTCTTGACTTCGTGTGCTGCTGGGGAGACCGGGAGATGCCAGGCTGCCAGACATCAAGCACTGTTGCAGGTCGGGGATGGGGAAGATGTGCGATGTTCCACACTCCATCTATTAACTCAGCTTCTGTGGGTTTTTAGCTTCGCGTTCGCGAGCGCGTTGTTCGATTTTCTGGCGAGGAAGAATTAGACGATTAGATTAGACCCTCCATCCGAATGGAAGTGGATGGCATGGGAAAGACAAAGATCATGGGTTTTTTTCATGCTTCTCACCATGGATCGAAAGCAAGCTCAACGCCTAACGGAAGATGAACGACCTGGAACATCAACCGGTTCCACCATCCACGCGTGTGGTGCAGGTTCCCAACGAAAGGGCGACGTAACAAAACACCCGGCTTTCCCCCGTCGAAACCGATGTGTCGTGCCAGAACGAACGCAAAAGCGGTCGTGGTACGTGGTTCTGTTTGGGGTTCGATCGATGCTTCACTCCCCCAACAAGCAAAACGAGGCCGGCGAGGCAAAACAGGGCCCGGTCTGCAGTACCCCCTGCCATGGAGAGCCCGGTCCAGATTCTTAGGGTCTAGATGGAATCCCAAACGACCATCCTAGACCCGGATCCCAAAGGAATAACGAGGACCACAAGCATCTTGATCAAAGAATCGTTCGAACATTTGGGAGACAACCAGGCTGAGTATTTGTAAGAAGGCGACCGTTTCCATGCACCGCGGTTGTTGTGATTCGTTGGAAGCGGTGACCAGAATCTATGACATACCGTCGACGGGTCCGCAGACGTTCGGGCCAACAGGTCCGCCATCAAGGCGTAGTTTGGTGCGTAGAAATTCGGGGGGAGGAGCAAACTGCTGCAACCACAGTCATTTTAGGGGAATGGGCAGCACGCCTTTTTTGATCCGGGCCCTTTTTAAGCAACACATATAGGGTTTGGTTTCCCTGCGGATTGGAGGGTCCGACCCCTACCATAGAGCGCCTAAGGATTCTTGGGGTAGCAACAGGTGTTTTAATGTTTTTCTATTTTTTGTGGTGTGTCAGAGAAGTTCTCCGCGTGTGCACGGTGTCAAGATTCTGTCAGCCAACTTGAGTCCTGATCTTGTATGCCCAAACACTTCGTGTTTTGGACAAGTCCAAGCAATTCACACGGAATGTGAGAGATCACCCCCTATAAGAGGATGATCAGACTCCATCCATTCTTGGTTGTGACTCTTAACCTTCCTCAGTCGCTCGCTTTGGGACTGTCTCATCCTGCCTCAATGCAGTGGCTCAAGTAATCTCACTTAGCCAGTGTGCTTCTGTTCACTTCAGATTGCTGTTCATTCTCGAGGCGCAGACGACTGATCGAAGTGGGCTCCAAACCTGCAATAAGGATCAATAAGGTCAATAAGTCGGGGTGCTGCTGTGCCTGTGCATGAAAATCGAAAACAGACAGCAGTCCGTGAGATCCCTGCACTTGCATATCCTGTGAGTCTTCAGGTTCAAACCGCCCTAGGCCCTAGGGTGTTTAATTCTTCGGTCGAATCGAATGGATTCCGCTACCCTTGCGATTGGCTTTGAGCACACCCTGTACAACTGCGGCTCTTGCAGGCACTTGATTTGCCAAATGGGTGGTCATGTTTCCACATGTTTCCACTCATCTAGCGCTCAGGAATCGTCGGGGTGCGGAGCCGGGGCTTCTCCAGTTGTTGCCCCTTGAAAAACAGCCGTTCGGTCGTTGACGGTCGTTCGAAGTGGCAACCTGCATGGGTCAATGGCACCAGACCAACTGACCGGGGTCTTCTTATCTTCGCTGGTCGAAGATGGACCGTTAACGACCCGACTATGGGCGGGTCCAACAGAGGGGTGCGAGCTGCGAGCCCCGAGCGATCGGAGGACATGTCGCTGCGTGTGGTTCTGAGTCTGGCGGTCATGAGCCTCGTGCAGGTGGGGACGCGGAGTCCGAGGGAGCGGCATCGATGTGTTTCGATGTTCCATTTCTGATCTTTGGTCCCCAAAGATCAATAAACATGTGCATATAAAATAATAGAGACCTCCCAGTTCGACCGCCTGGAAAAAAAACATGTGTGAGTGTGTTGGAAGAGGCAGAACATGGGTGAACGGACGGACTGCTCTATTTTGGAAAGTATAGGAATTGAATGGAATTGATTTCGACATGACTTTCGAAGATTCCCTCGGCGCACGGTGCAAAAGGTGAGCCCCAAGCAAAAGGTGTATGCCAGGAGTCACAAAGGGGTGGTTTTTAGTCCTATCCAGTGATTTGATGCTCTGGGCACCCCAACTTCCTCCAAGTTAGGCACCCCGACATGTGACTGCTGGTGTGTTGTTTTCCCAAAAGCATCTCCGATGCTTGGGTTCTCGTTTAGTCGCTAGTGCTGCGGAAGAGCGAGACAAAGCAAGCGTTGTCGTGGACGGAAGATGGGCGTGGACGGGGCTGTGTGGATGGAACAGGGAGGGGCGCGATACGGGAGGTGCGCAGGCGTGGACGGAGCTGTGGATGGAAGGAAAAGGGCACGAGACGGGAGGCGCGTGGGTGTGGACGGGGCTGGGAAGGAAGGGGGGGAGAGACGGGAGGTGCATGGGTGTGGACGGCGCTGAAGGAAAGGGGCGCGAGACGGGAGGCGCACGGGTGTGGACGGGCGCGAGGCGGGAGGTGCATGGGTGTGGACGGGGCTGGGGAGGGAAGCGGGAGGGGCAGACGGGAGGTGGGTGGACGGAGCTGTGGAACGAAGAGGGAGGGACGGGAGGTGCATGGGTGTGGACGGGGCTGTGGAGGGAAGGTGCTAAGTGGAACGAAGCATGGAGGGGGCCAATGCTGCTCCATGCTTCGCGGCAGAACGTTGTTGTGTGAGTGGAGCCGTCTTGCGCGGCTGATATGCTAGTTACGAGGACATGGTTGCACCACAAGCATCATTGCAGGCTGCTCCGGGTCAGTTCACAAGTAGAACGAAGCATGGGTGGGGGTAGTTCTGCTCCATGCTTCGTGGAAGCACGTTCTGACGCGAGCGGAGCTATGTTGCGGGGCTTATATTATGGTCTTGGGTGTACAAACTGTGCACAATGCATGCGCCAGACAGTCAAGTCATGGCCGAAACGGCAGAATTGTTGCATGCTAGAGCCGCAATGCTTGAAATTTGATGGTTGGAACGAAGCATGGAGGGGGGCTGATGCTGCTGCATGCTTCCTGGAACGGTTGCCAGAAGCCATGTTGCAATGGGGTTGAAGACTAGCTGCAGAGATTAATACATCCAACCTCCAACCCGACTAAAAGGGGAACCGTCTTGTTTTCAGTGTGCTTGAGGGTGCTGTGCCGTGGTGGCACGTGTATTTGAAGCGGGTGAATGCTGCACGTGGCCCAAACTTGTGACCTGTCGGAGGGCTTCGCGGCCAAGACCCGGTCGGAGCCCCAGAAGAACTCATTAACGCTCGGTATCGGCGCATAGCTGTTGGCATTGTGTTTGTGTGGGTGTTGCTGGCTGCGCGGCCAATGTCACCCATCAAGGATAGCATGCCTTGTGGGGGCAGCATGGCGAAGAAGCCGAGGACAAGAAAAAGAACACGTTGATGCATTCAACACAAACCAGATTGAAGCTCCTGAGGCATTCAGGAGTGTGAGGCCATGTGGTGTCACATCTGACAATGTCAATGATTTTGCCCAACTCCGGACATGTTGGGAGAAATCACCACCGAACTGTCCCTACTCAAATCAAGCAAGCGGGAGGTCTTTCTAGAACCTGCCTGGGCTCAACTGGAGACCATCGCTCGAGAATCGCTTGATGATGGAAAAGGCTCCGGTTTGGACTTTTCAGCGGTACTTGGCTTGCTAGCCAAGCTGCACCTAGTGGGGGAATTTGTCATCAATAATGTGGTCCAGTTCTGGCAGCGTCTTGCCGTTCCTGAAATGGGTTCTTTCGCAGTTGCCTTGCAGCAGTTTGCAGCCGATGTAGATGGTGATTGGAAAGACCCGAAGCTACCATTCGGAACCAAATGCCTCATGAGCACAAATACTCTGCAATATATTTCCTTTGATTTGTCAGCAGCTGTGTCCGCTACCAAAGATCGTCGTGAACACTTTTCAAAAATAGCTGCAGCATGCCGCAGATTCATGGACGCGACGGACAAGCTTGAGGTATACTTTGTTGGACATCGCAGATGCAAGGCTACCTTTGCCATCCCAAAGTCATGGCGGTCCTGGGGCACACTCCAACGGTCCACTTGCAAAACCATGCAGGTGCTCAAAGCCCTACACACTGGCCGAATCAAAAGCCCGCGGAAAGTGCGAAGCACCACCTTCAAATAGAAACTGATCACGCCTGATGCCTCAAAGCGGAAAAAGGAAAGATGCTGACACAAATCTTGTATCCCTAATTTGTGAGCTAGCAAGCGGGTGGCATCCTGGACGCGGCATGACCGCGGCGTGGGAGGGCGGGAGGAAGCCGCTCAACAGTACGCTCAATAGTACTGCCTGCGCGACAGGGTCTAAAATCAGTAGACTCGCACGTCTCACGACATGGTGTCTTCTGTGTTTAGACCTGTTTGCTTGACTATATTAGACCCTCAAAACCGGATCATGTGGACAAAAACACCCACAGGACTTCAGGATACATTAATCGTCGAAGAAGCTCATGTATAAAAATCTAGTTTCAAGAAAGAAGACCTGTTTCAAGAAAACATAGTATAATTTTATATAACTTCAGCATATTTTACAATATATATGGCTGTGGGTCGAAACCCGGTTCCCTACGTTGACCACCTGATCTGGAGGTTTGGAACGAGATGTGTGACCCAGAGGTCTGGAACGGCAGGTATGTTCCGGAGGTCTGGACTGTTTTCAATATTTGTATATACTTAATAATGAACAAGTTAGAACGTATGAGCGCAGTCGCTAGCTCATACACACCCTGCCCTACCCTTCGAGAGGCTGGTATGAAGCTGCGCATACCCAGGAATCAGCCATGATGCTGTGCATGACATAGCTGCGTCATCTTCGCGCGACGGCGGCTGCAGGCGGTAGCCTGTTAAATATATAAGCTCCTGCGAGTATGCTTAAAGCACACAACATATTTTGCACCGCTGTGCCAAGTTACATCGCCCGTGGGCTGCAACATGTCATGCTATGTGTTTTCCACCCTCACTTGATTTGCTCTGCTCAGGTCACACAGTTCAGTTCCTGAGATACCATGGGACCTTCAGCTCCAGTTTCACTATGGTCAGGTTTCACCAACGACTCATGCCACGCCCAAGAGGCTAAAAGACCGGTTGCGTGCTTCTTTTTGCTTTTGGGTCCGCGGGCTCACCTGGTTTTTGAACAGAACGAGTGTCCGTGAGAGTGCGGTTTTCCATTGATTTGCAATTGTTTTTCTGGAAATTTTGCCACAGATAGCGACATAGCAGATATGACCAGATGCTTTGAGTATTCATAAATACAAAAGAATACAATTTTCCGGAATCTTGTGTCTCCAAAGAACAAAAAATAGAAAACACAAAAAACAAACACACCAATTTTCCAGAGGTCTTTCAACTTGGGGCTTCTGCAGAAAGAGTTCTGAAATATTGTTTTTCTATTTTTTGCGTTTTTTTTACCGGTGTTTTTGGTTTTTGTTTGTTTTTTTATTTTTTGGCTCTTCACTTCTTTTTTGGTTCCTCTATCTGGCGGCCCAAGCAGACAGGGGACATCAATAGGAGGAAACACTACAATACATGAACGGCAAGAATCATATCTAGTAAGCAGAGAATGGTTGTGGTGCAGTATCACAAGAGCAAGGGATTTTAACAATGTATATATATATTTTTTTCAAGAATGAAAAAGCAGATGAAGAGATGCAAAAGAATTTAGTAATAGTATGTTTGAAAACAAGATTGAAGGATACAAAGAGCAGGATAAAGTGGCTGATAGAGAAATAGATGAAAACTATATTAATGAACATTGGTGGTTGAATCATTTCCATGGTTGTTGTGCCCACAGTGGAATAAAGTTCTATATTGAAATGAAGCAAGGCAAATTATCAACAAATTTCACAGCACAAAGACTAGACAATACACTGTGCCATTCCGTGGATAATTGCACTCCATACTGTAAGTATTGTAATTGTAGTGCTCACTGGTTATATTTGTAGTTCTAAGTTCTTATATTTTATGTCGTGAGTTCAAAGCAAGAAATATTGAATAGTGTATATTTTGATACAGCGGGTTATGGAAGTAAAGCAACACCTTTAAGACATGCAAAAAAGATTCTGAAATAGAAATGTCTGATGTTGAAGTTTTTTTTTTGAAAAATGTTGAGATACAGAAACAACAAAGAGGTCAGAACAGTTTTGTAGCACCTCATAATAATCATACCTACCAACTTGACATATTTTTTATATCACCTGATGACATTGAAGCAACGCAAAAATTCAGAGCGGGTTTAGTAATGATAGATGTTAAAAGTACTGTAAATATGCTGTGGTAGTGCCAATAAAGAGTAAAGCCCCACCTGACATAATTGCTGGAACTATGGAAGGCTTACAGAAAATGGGAAAGAAGTGCAAAATTTTGTATACTGATGATGAAAGAGGTATAGCAAGTGCTGATTTTAACGAATATGTGGATGGTGAAGGCATTGAGTTATACAGGGCAAGAGGACATCCTGCCTTCGCTGAACGATTTATTAGGACATTTAAAGATAAAAACTATTTAAAAGAGTTGAAAATGATCAGAAGAAGGGAAAGCAGAATATACAATGGACTGACTACATATTAGAAATAATGCTGACTTATAAAAATAAAGATGTGCATAGTGCAACAGGACTAACACCAAACGAAGCAAGAAAAGAGAAGAATGAATTTAAAACAAAATTGAATGTATCAGTGAAAACAAGGAAAGAAAAGATGTATCCAACATTAGAGGTGGGAGACAAGGTAAAAAATAATGAGGAAGAAAACAATTACAGAGAAAGAGAGAACAAGTCATTTTTACAAGATGAATATACAGTAGAAAACATTGCAACAACATTAGGACAAACGTATTATACATTAGAAGGATTTAACCGTCCATTATTAAGGCATGAGTTGTTAAAAATAGAGTTTATTCAATAACAAAACATTTTAAAGGAAATCTATTTAAATAAATATTATGTTACAACACTGCTTAAAATCATAAAGCAGCGCACTCTGACAAACACCCGGACTCTTTTTGAATCGTGGCTGCTTGATAGCATGTTTTCCAGGGTTGTCCATGTTGGGGGGCACCAGGGTCAGCTCGACTCCTCGTGTTGACCGAAACGATATCCTTCGATGTCTCCTGGGGCCCAAAAAAGTCAATTTGCTGAGGCGAAGTTGCATGATGAAAACATGATGAAAGCTGTACCTGGGTTGGACATGAGTCAGTACGTCAGAACCAGTCAGATGGTTTTGGGTTCTCAACCCAGTGGCATTCGGATCAGATCCAACCGAGCGAGCGGCGTCGACGGCTCGTTGGGACGAGCCGCTCGCGCTCGCTCGGCGTCCCGAGCACCGGTGCTTGGGGATCTCTGGGAGGTGAATTCCCTTGCTTTTGGTTGGAACGGCTGAGAGATGGGCATCCCCATAGAGTTGGAAGCAACAATCATAAACCAGTAGTCACAAAGGGGTGCGATCCATGGAGGTTAGGGGGTGCCCAGAACATCCACTCACTGGATGGGACTAAACACCACCCCTTGGTGACTGCTGAAACATAGCCATACTCTGGTTGACTGCAAGCCGTACCAAAGCAACTTGGTGCACAAAATCGCACATGGCTGTGGGTCATGGCACCAGCACGCCCTGGTTGACCAAAAATGAACCGTGTTTTCACCACTGTCGACATGGTCAACCTACCAGGGTGAGGCAACCGGGTGGTGCCATGACCCACAGCCACATGGTGCGAGACTTTGGAGCACCACTCATCACTCGCCCACAGCCTTCCGCCGTGCCACCCCCACGCAAGACGTGATGGCATCACCGCTGGAAGGACCCCCTCGGAGCGCCGAGCTCTCGAGTTCCGTCTGTGCCGAGCGACTCGCCAGGCGAGTTTGCGTGGGAAGATTGTGGCCACGAGTGGCTCCATGAGCAACCTGGCGGCCAACTCTCTCTCGTTGTCGGGGTCGATGAGTCGAGCCGATCGAGTGAGTCGGGCCATGGCGAACGGCACGCAGGTGATGGTCGGTCTGGTTGGGTCGGTTTTGGTGGAACGGCACGCAGGAAAGCAGGAACGGCAGGGTGATCTTCCCACCGTTTTGGGCCAAATTGGATGCTTTAGGATGCTGCAGGAGGCTTGTGATGGATGTTCTCCTCTTCCCAAGGTGATGCAATGCGACTGTACACCCAATTCCTCTGCCGGGTTGGTCTACGCCAAGGCGAAATTCGCGATGTTTACGCAGTACACATGCGAAATCCAGCAGCGAAACCATCAAACTCCTTGGTGCGTTGCCGGCAAGGGAATTTCTTTATCACAGAAAGTGGCTGGGACTGGGGAGTTCCATTCAGAACTGTTTGTGGAACGACTCTATTCTTACAAGCTCTAGAGATTCCGTCGAATTCGATCCTTTGGCTGTTTGAGCAGGAAGTGTTTGAAAGCGTGAGTCGCTGAGTTTTTTAAGTTCCATGGTTTTGAGTACGGACGACTTCTGTTGGATATGGATGAAGAATTGCTGGCAGCTAGGCTAGATCGCTTTGCTTGAGCTTTGAGATGTTTCTTCTCGTTCGGGTCATTGGACAGATGACAACAGTTTTTTGGGTAGTTACACCCTGGAAGACTAACATGGAGCCTGAAAACCCCTGGTTGGTAGAGGAAAATAGTCTTCCATGGCAGTCAGGGTCTATGTCAGTTTTCGGGAGTGTACACTGCCTGGAGTCATCATGGAAGTGGAATCAAAGGCCCCTGGAAGAGCATTTTCCTCGTCCACACGACGGCGGTGCTGTGTTGACGCAACCACGATGAGTGCAGGGGAGTGTGACTTTAACTCACACTTTTGGGTGAAGGTCTCTCATACTCATCTTGCTTCACTCCCATGAGATTGGAATATGTACAATATTCTCAAATGCCTACATTGACCCCGGGTCAACCACCCCAATGTGGCTTTAAAAGGGCCATAGATGGGGTTACACTGTTACACCGAAATTTGACCAGACTGTAGGAATGATGTGTGGTACCGCAGGTGTGCCCAAGTGAACAAGTACTCAGTATACCGCACCACCCAGGAACCGGGTGAGGTGTGGAAGCCTTTGACCCCTCTCTGACTTCCTCACCAGAGAGGTGTGGAAGCAGTGCGGGAGACCGTCTTGCAGGAGGTCCTGGCCGCTTTGGGCAGTGCCTTCGGCCCTAACGGTCCCAGCGGTCCACGCGGTCCGCGTCACGGGAGGTGCCAACGAATGGGAGGAAGAGAGGTGGGAAGCTGCCAACGGCCGGGCCAAGCATGGAAAAGAGTACTGTCACGGACACGAGACCCGGCAGATGCTCTGACTTGAACACACTTGGACCTGGCAACCTCGTCCCCTATAGGCTATATAATAGGCATCCAACATGATCAATTTCGGTACGACTGGACCCGACGTTTTGGCACCGGCTACCAGTGTCGGTCTCACATCACCTGAGAAGGACACCGATCCCGGGGACTCCATCGAAACCTGCCCAAGACAACCCGAAGACCTCACGGATCTCGACCGATGGAGAGGCGACTTCGTTCAGTCTCCGCCGCCGAGGCGGACATCGAGTGACCTCGGACCGGCTCTCCTCCATTGCGCCTCGCCTGGTGGAGGGGTGGAGACCGGGTCTCCTGCGGAGCTGCGCGGACGGCGTGGAGAGCTGGGAGCGGCGCGGACGACTTGAGTTCGGGCCGGTTGGGGGAGTTTGGGGGGCGACTCATTTGGGCATTTGGAAGCTGGTCATCCAAGGGGCCATGCCATCCACTTCCGTTATTTCAGACTTTTTGCTTCGGGACAGGATACAGATTGGACTTCATGGACCCCTTCAGACTTGCGATGGTGGGAGTTGGCTGCTTGGAGATTTTGTATGCATCATGCACCTGCAGAGACTCACACGAGTCTTTGATTCACTTTGGAGACCGTAACAACACAAGCGCAGACCCAAACACCTCTCAATCTGGAAACTCGATGAAACTCGCCCAACCAGAAAGACCGAGCCATTTCCTGTGTAAACGATCTCAAGATGGTGCCGTAAGAACTGTTTCTGGTTTGGACTGGGTTTCCAGGGATGTGTTTGGTTTGAGACTGCTCACGAATCTGGTCAATTATTGTTAAGTGTGGCTGAGTCTGTATATAAGTTATCATACATTTAATTACACTTATAACCATGTGTATATGGTTGAACGTGTTTTGTAATGTTTGTCAGTCTGTCCTTGTTAGGAATTCCAATTCATCCAAAGCAATCTCATTTCTTTTGTGGTGCGTCAGTGGAGTTGACGCGTTGGCTTCGGCATGATTTTTTCGTGGGTCAAGTGGGTGCCAGGTAGTGGTTTGTTCATATCCCAAATTGGCCATGTTACGTGTCCCCAGCCAGCCCGACATGAGCTAGGACAGCCCCTTCGCGCGGGGACACAGAGATTTGAGCTCGCTAGCCCTCCAGCTATCTCTATCTCGTTTGTGAGTCGAGTCGCCCTGATTCGGGATCACAAAATCTTGGATTTGTAAGTTCTCAGCGACCTCAGGTCAGGTGAGGTTTACCACCTGAGACGGCGCCCGCCGACGGCCCGATGGAGAAGACGTCGTCACGCCGACGGCGACCGCGTGTGTGACGAAGTCGGCCGCGTGCGTCAAACGGCAGACGCGTCAGGAAGCGATCCTGGCCCCCACTTTCAAGGCGGTCACCGGGCGGTTTCGGCGCGCTCATGGTCATGGCGCGGTGTCCATTGTTTTTGCTTTTCTCAGGGAGACTTTTTGTTTGACTCTATGGCCGGTAGGGACCGATATAGAAGGAAAATGAAAGGAATGAACTGATGATACTGATGGACATTTGCAGGCACATTTGATGTACTTTGTTGGTGGCTGTGGCTGGAGACGGGCCAGCACTCACTTGTGCACTTGAACAAAATTCTCGCTTGTACACTTATGGCTTGAAGACTGAGGACGAGAACAAGGCAATATGAGTTCAATCGAAACAAATGGCAAATAACAAGAAAGCTGTCCCCACGCATGTAAGAATTTCCTTTGTTGAAGCAGAGGGCTGGTGTGAAGAAGCCGACTTTGAAGAAGCCGGCTGGTGCAACTTTTTGTCCAATTAGGCCCGGCTCAGATGCGTAGTCAGAGCAGTTCACAATTTACCTCGGAGTGAGAACACTGTTGGTTCTCCCCATCATCACAGGAGCTGGTGACTGCGATGAAACGTTTCGTGAAAGACATCATCGACACATGCCAGAAGAGCGGCGCAGTAGTGCACTCTGTGCGAAAGCTGTTTGATTTTCTGGCAGGTGAGGGCCTGCTTTACACACAGTGAATGCATTGAAGCACTATCGGCTATCGGGGTCCAAGGCCAAATTGAGATGGCCTCGGCATCAGCTGGGCCGACGCGCGCAGATTGGTGTCAGCAGATTAATCAGCTGGGGACTGTGCGCGATGATTGCGCTGTGTGTGTGTGCGCCGAACTTCACCCCCATGATGTCGATTGCAAACAATTCAACAAACAGTTACAAGAAGAGACTGCAGGCAAACTTGGAGTTCCAGGCTCGACAGCCCACATCAGGTTCGCCAGTCTCTCCTGCTCTCATAGAGTGTTTGCCATATGAGAATCATCCAGGAAGGCGTGGCTTACGCACACGAAGATCTCACCCTACATGGGGTGTTGAGCTTGGAGCAATTAGGTACAAACGGCCCGGAATTTTTGATGTGAGTGGAGGACATGCTCAGGGGAGGCTTCTGCCACCGGCAGATCTTACCACCTCGCTTGCACATCAGTCGTCTGATCCATCGTCCCGCCTTCCATCGTCGCTATGCTCCAGTGACCCCGACGTTACCGTGGTGCCGCTCAGTTTGGCACAGTATGACGCCCCGGCAGGCCGCAAAGGCGGGGACGTTCCTCGCGATCAGCAGCCGGATGAAGCCAAGAGGAGAGTGCGAGAACAGGACCTCGATGAAGAATGCGATCCGGGTGATGGACCGCGGATCAATTGCAGGCCTTGATGGGAACGGATGTGGTTGGAGGAATTTTGGGATGCAGGTGAGTTTTGGATATTCTTAGGTGTAATGCTCCACCATGTGTAGGCCCACCCCCGCCCCCCAGAATGCAGCTCATGAGAGTGCGCCTGTTGGTGCTGCAGTGTAGTGTTGTAGTACAACCCCCCCGTGTAGTGTTGTAGTACAACCCCCCACCCCCTCAAGTGCACAAGTGAGTGGATTTTTTTGATGTAAGTGTGCAAGTGAGTGAACTCTTATAGGTGCACAAGTGAGTGTCCGGCCGAACGGTGACCAGCTAGATCTTGGGATAAGCTGGCGATCCGCTGTGCTGGCGATCCAGGATCGGAGACGCCGTTTCACGGTTCGATGCAAGAATTGGAGATCCAGAGGTTCGATGCATTTCGTGGACTGGGCGAGGTCTGAAATATAGACACATAAGTAAGCTACCCGGAATGGACGCACAAACTCGTTCTTCGTGGATTGGTAAACATGCGGTTAGGTGAATTAAGCGCTTATTAAGCCCTTATTAAACAAATAAAATAGACGTTCATTAGCAAAATATAGTTTGGTGGGCAAATGCCTACTATGCACATTTCAGGAGTTTTATGTTGGAAGGGCCAACTGCTTATTAACCACTTAGCATGTTCCTTATTATGAACAATTGTTATTTTTTTAATCATTTGGGGTACCCTGCGTTGGGGGCCCCCCTGTATAGTGGTACATGAACATTGGAAAGCTGGTGGACCAGACGGCCTCCTCATACCTGCATCTTCTCAGTGGCCAATTAACCCCCTGGTTTGAGATCACTCAGGCCTGTGAAAGGTCTCCAAAAGGGTCACTGCAGTTCCACGGTTTATTCGTTTGAACAAGTCTGTCGATCCTTCAGATTTCGGGTGGTTCCTTTCACGATGTCCTGGCTGGAGACCTTTTTCCTGGGCTGGGGACTACCCAGCCACACGTCGAAAGGAAGCAGCTGTCCAACGAGCCCCTTTTTCATGGGTATGGCCAGGACTGGGTCCAGCAATACTGGATCTTAAATGGTCAACAGGCCCTGCCAGCTAGCTAGTAGTAGTCGTAGCATAAAAGTAAACTCTTGTATTTTTCCCCGGGCTCCAAGTTGGCGCATTATTCCCACCCACTGAAGAATTCACGTAATTCACTTCCACAGGGCATTGTGGACTACCCGTTGAAAATTGTTTGGAGCAATGGCTTCGATGAGTTTGGGTGTTTGAAAAAGGTTTTCAGGCCAGAGTTCCAGGAATTGAGCAACCTTAGAGAAGGTTAAGCAAGGATCTTAAAATGGATGCAATAACAGAGCAATAGAAAACTAAGTGGTGGTGGAGGGGTGGAGGATTAATGCAAATTTAAGACAATTAATAAGCACACTTACGCAATCAAAAAATCATCATGCAGGAAACCACATTAAATTACGTATTCATGATTCCCACCCATTAAACAGTTCAGGGTGGGAACAATTTCGGGAATTTTGTTTGCACCCACTTGTTTGTTTGAGATTGAACATTACGCAACTCTGGCAACTCAGGACACTCTTCAGTCTCTTCAGTATACCCTGCCAGTCAGAACCTCTCCAAACCTCTCAAACAAAAAGATACAAAAAGGGGTCGGACCCTGTGAGACCCAATTGTTCCCCAAAACACTTCCCCAACCTCTCAGCAACCTCAACCAGATTTTCCCCAGGCCATGCCCAAGAACGAGTTCGGGAACTTGGAGGATGCCGCAGCCAGGTGTGTTCTCCCGAGAAGGAGTCGCGGTCAGTGAGTTTGCGATGGAAAAGCACCAGTGATGCACCTGTTCTCCTTCTATTTGTTGGGTCATGCACCTTATTTTTTGGGGGGACGGATATTGGAGGGTAAGGGTCTATTTCGAGATTTCAGGAAGTGATGGTGTGCCATTTCCCCCGCGAGTGGCGCCAGGTACGTCTTGCATCGGCTCTTTGTGCGACGCCACGCCATGTACATCAAGGCGCCCTTTTTTTCGATCGACCGGGTTCGACACCGCAGCGTCACCAGGCAATCCACCCTCAAACACCTAGGGTTTGGGAACCGGGCGACCCCTACCATGGAGGGACCCCGGTCCGACCCATGCCAGAACCCGTTCGGATTGTTAGGGTAGTCCAATTTTGTGGCAAAGACTTCTCAGGTGTTTTGTACGGCAAAGCGTCGCACCTGTCTGGGCAGAGGGTGGACAGAAAGGGGTCATTTGCTGTTGAGTCAACATGGCCGGAGCTGGCATGGAAACACCAGGTGTTTCAAGTGACAACTGCACAAGAAGCCCTCTTTGTAGTCCATATGCATCCATATCAGTGTATCATTCCAAATGTGCAGCTCCATGCAGAAATATCTAGAGATATATTATATATCTGATGTGAATTAGTCCAACTTGACAACAAAGAATCACCTCACGCTCCACGTTTGAGGGTCTCCTCTTTTTGTCACCGCGCTCCGCTGTTCATTCGCCTTTTTCAGGGCTTGGAAGCAGAGGGCATGAGCTGGAACGAGACTTCCACCGCAGAGGCCGGCCGGTTCGGCTGTGTTCGTTCGCTTGCCGGCGAAGGTTGGGAGAAACAGCGAGGGAGAAAACGCCTCACAACGACCCGACGACACTCCATGACCAGAACTTCGCCGAGCAGTTGGGGTGGTTGATTTCAGGGGCCAATGTAGGCATATAAGTTCCATCCATGGAGTGTTTGGGCTAGGGTAGAAGAGGAGGAGGAGGAGGTTTCTTTTTTTCGCTGAAAGAGAATGACACAGCCAGAAGATGTGGAAAGGTTGTGAAGGTCCTTGGTTTGGCAGTGGAGGGGATTCACTCAGGATTCACTCAGTGAAGGGATTCAGGATGGTAACTCTGAGACTGGCCGAATGGACAACTGGAGAATCATCGAAATAGCGCTGAGGAGTTCCTGTTTGATGTTCGTCGTCCCAGAGAAGGAGGGGGGGCAAACCTATTGCGGATAACGATGTTCTTGCGGACATGTCCGATGTTTGAGTGGTTCTATCACTCTAGAGGCATGGGACGAACATGGAAGAAGACATCGATGAGTTCTTTACCTTTGGATATTGGCTGTGGGTCAAAACCCGTATCCCCAAACCAGGGTAGGTTGCCTCTATTCAGTTCACTTTTTGTGGTCAACCCAGGTAGCCCGGTTTTGACCCACAACCTAAGTTGGAAGTGCGGTCCCAGTCCCGAGTGCTGCCGACAAACAATCGGCTGAGTCACAAGTGTTCACCGTCGGCCATGGTTAATCACATCCATTTGTTACCCTCCCCGCAATATATATACCTAGAACCCATTTGACCCCTGTTTTGATAGGAAAAGACCATGTTTTGGCTCCAAAACAGGGGTCCATCAGGTTCTAGGTATATATATATATACATACATACATACAACCATGCAATATAACAATATAGCCCCTAAGAATCCTTGGGGCCCTCCACGGACCCTCAAAACCCTATGTGTTGGTTTCGGGCCCGGATTCGAAAAGGGAAGTATGGTTCATCCATGGAACAATTCAGGAAAACGCCCGGGGTTGTGGCCGAAACATATGAGTAGAGGAGCCAATGAAGATGCTCCGCTGCTCCGTTTTCTCCGTTTTGGTCTTCGATACCTCCGCCGCTCTGTCGCATCGCCCGAACCCTCCACGTTACGATGGCCAAGGACACGCCCGAACCCTTCACAACGGGTTCCGTGTGGATTCGCACGTGTGTTTTGACGATCAGGCGAAAGCGAAGAAATCGTCGGTTTTTCAGTTCGATCGCCCGCCCGCAGAACCCGCCCGAAGCCGCAAACCGGTTGACCGAAGGTTTGGACCCCGGGTCGCGGGTCCCTTTCTTCGGATTCGTTTCTTTTTGGTCTCCCCTCCCAACATGGAGTACCCAGCAAGTCCAAAGGACGGATTAAACCGGTGCGTTACTAAAGAACTGGTTAAACTGGTGCGTTGACCCATTGGAGTACCAAAGCCGTTACCGCAGAGAGGGAGGCACCTGTTGCGTCGCACAAGTGAGGCTACCGTCCAATGCTTTGCAGGAGTCGCCGCTTGATCTATCAAAGTTCCAAGCACTTTGCCAGATGTTGGCACGAAACTCGCTAGTGCACGCCGTTCATAGGCTTTTGTTTTTTTTTGTCTTTAATAAGAATATAACTATTATAATAGGCATGGCATGCCACATACAGGAGAACAGAGGGTGTGGATCCAAGTTCAACGGGGTGTTGCTTTCCCCAGGAGCTACTAGTAGCGTCCTTGCTCCCGGCCTCCAACCTAATAGCGATGGCCTCCACCTAGTAACTTCTGTAGTAATGCCAGGAGCTACTATAGTAGGAATTCTTAAGCTTGGAGGCTTGTTTGCTGGGACCTTAATCCCGTAACCGCTGGCCGAGTAAGGATACAACATCACTTCCACCGCTTGCTTGTCAGCCAACTTCATGCCTTGCGATGATCACAAGTCCGCTGAAAGCGACGGCAATTCTTCGGGTGTGACAGCTCGACTCATCAGCGGGTACAACAGCACCTTGATGGTTCAGGTGCCAGCTCTCCTGGCTCTCCTCATGGTTTGCATCTTTCCTTGTTCTCTTCGATGCAAGCACGGTTCGGACGTCGGAGTCGTTTGACTCCCGCTGAAACCGAGCGACCGGAGGACCGACCGGTTGTCTCGCGGAGCTCCGAGCTGTGCTGAGCGAAACGAGCTGAGCAACAAAATGGTGCATCCAAGTCTGTGAGGCCATCCATGAAGACGTTTCTTTTAGGGCTCCAGTCGTACCGAAACGAAACGAAGGTATGACTGGACCCGAATATGGCATCCGGGCCCCCAGTCCCACCTTCGAAACGAAGGTACGACTGGAGCCCTAGGTTTCAGATAAAGCATGGACCTGGTGAAGAGGCCGACCTTGATCCTTTTGAGCTATGGTTATGGTCCTGGTCATGGACAATATAAAGATTCTCATCCTCTCCCCAGACACATCCCAACCACCGGCGAGCGAAGTGTTTGGGCGAGGAAGCGGGAGGGATCATCGAAGTGTTGGATATTATCCAACCACATGATTCTTTTATGTTTGGGTGGGCAAGTCTTGGGGCCAAGTCTTGTTGGGCGAAAAAATAAATACAGTAACATATAATGACCATGGACCATACCGTCCAAACCACATCTCTCCAGATCCGATGCCCACAACCACCCAGTTCGCACATGTGTCCAAACCCCCCTAGCTCCCCGTGTTCCCACTCTTCCCACTCTTCCCACCATGTTCCTCCCCCTAGCTCCTGCGCGCGACCTCCCTCAACCGGTCGGAAGGTCTTGGAGGATCACGTGCCTTCTTTGGTGCTGTCGCTCTTCGAGGACCGCCTCAAGGACCGGATCGGAAGGGGATCGGAAAGGGATCAGACACGGGAAGGAAAGGAAGGAAAGGAACGGTCAGCCCGGTATTGAAGGCACGTTACGCTACTTTTTCATACCTTTTTTCGAGTTACAAGGGCTTTACATGGCATTACTGTAGTAGCAAGAAGCTACTAGCAGCTCCTGGCAGTGCTCCTGGCAGCTCCTGGATCGATCATGATATGGAACAGGTCGCTCCCTGCGACTGTTTGTCTCCAAAAGCCACCATTTCGGAGACCTGTTGGATGGTCCTGGTATCCTGGTATTCATATGGATCTGAAGATCTCACAATCCACTATAATCTAAGTGCCAAGACGTTCTCAATCAGCAGCAGGCTTTGTCCACTACTTTGATCCAGTACGGGGTCCTACCTTGGTCACACAACTGTTACCTTTCTTTGGCAGAGACCATTTTATGTCCATTTCAATCCGTGTTTAGTTCATGGAAAAAGACACATTTCATACCACATATTAGCTCCCTCCCAACCCAAACCATCCCCATCCTTCATCCTTTGGTGGGCTCCTTGTCTTCCCGACCTCGACGGACGTCCTCGCAGCCTCGCGCGGCCTTGCGCGAGCCTCGCAGCCTCGCGCGGCCTCGCAGCGCGCAGGGACACGGCCTCGGTCTCCATGAGCTGACGGTCTTGGCAGCGACCCTGGAGCATCTGATCCACGATGAGGCGAGACACGTCGTCCGGGTCATACATGGCTGCCCTTGACTGGTTGGTTGGTTCATAGAGCGGAATCCTCCGGTCGTGTACAACCAATGGGTATATGGTACCAAACCGACCCCTTGATTCTTCCCAAGTACGGCTTGGTCCAGGTCCCGTACCGGACGGGTATGCGAGACGCAAGGACGCTCCGGGTGGGCTTCGGCGTACCGGGTTTCACCGGGGGACGGTACTGTTTGGCCCGGAGGAGTGACACCGGGCAGTGACAGAAGTGATGTCGGATGCTTTGAGTCGAAAGGCTGGACCAAATGTGTTCCTTTTCGACAGTATCCATCATGTTGAACTGCTCCCTGTTTTCGGGGGAAAGGCGAGGCAGTTCGATCCACCTGAAAAACTGACACTGTGACACAGGTGACACGTTCGGGAAGTGATGAAGGGACGCGGATCATGCAACCCGGGCTGATTTGGCACCTTTTTCTCCTATTTAACGACCATAGAGGTCACACTGGTCTGACACATCATCTGACATCAGATCGAAGACGTTTCAGCCCTCCTGCGTTTGGACTGTTTGTTTCTGGGTGCATCGTTTTACATGTAAAACTGCACTAGGTTAGAGGCCGTGACTAGTAGGTTGGGGCCATCGCCAGTAGGTTGGAAGCCATCGCTTATAGGTTGGAGGCCATAGCTATTAGGTTCCTGTTGCTATCAGGTTAAAAACATCAAATCATGTAAAAAAGAAATGAACATCCATCAAGATGACCTCACCGATTCCTTCTGGAATTCGGGACTTGCACCTGGAGGTGTCCAGTCCCAAGCAGAAGCAGTTCTGGGTCTTCTAATACGACATTCTTGAGATCCTTTACATGTATAGGACATGCCTGTTTGGGGGTAACATCCATTGGTTTCTGGTTGGGACTGGGATTGGTTTAGCCAGATATCAAGCAGCCAGCCAAGCAGACAGAAGTCACACAAAGAAGATCACAGGAAAAAAAACTACAAGAAAACAGAGAAGAGTAGTTCGACAGAACAGTTTCGAAAAGGAGACCGCTGGGCCGCGACACGGCCCCCCTTTCTGTGTGTTGGTTTTTAAATGGACTCCCTTCCTCCGGCTCCGGGGCGGACCAGAGGAACTCGGGCGGCTGTCTGTGAACGATGTGAACAAGATGTGGAACCAAGGGATGCCGTTGAAGAAGGTGTTTAAAGCAAAATTGTGGTTGATTGTAGAAAAGAATATAAAGAAGAGTGAATCACCGGAATAAAGACGATGTGGTTGATTGTCACTAAGACTATGTTGATTGTGACGATACAAAAGAACACCAACATTTGGTCTTTGTGTCACTCAGAATCCGGATCCGTCCGCACTGGTGCCAGCGCCACCAGAGCAGCCAGAGCAGCAAGGTTCCACACATGCTCCTCACATCTCCTCACCATGGCGACAAATGATTGACGTGTCATGGCGGGGATATTTCGAAGTAAAGTTTCCTGTTTTCTTTCCAGGATTGTGAACGATATATTGACATAGACATAGATTTACATGAATGCTGAACGATTGAAGGATTTACTTTTTTGACACAGATATAATATCCAAAGGACCGGTTAAACCGGTGCGTCACTGGTTAAACTGGTGCGTTGACCCACTGGGACAGATATAATATCATGTTCATGCTGAACGCTGGACCGGACCTCCAGGTGCTGCACCCACCATCCGACTCCCGACTCCTGCCAGGCGGTGTCGCGCTTGGGCGTGGTCTATGAGGTGCACGGGCACCCGAAGGACAGCCCCGTGAACCAGGCGCGGGGTCACCGGGTGCGATCGCCATTTACTCTCGATCTCTGGAGACCCAAAAGCCCCAGGTGCTGGTGTTGCTACAGGTGCTGGTGATTGGTTTTCCTTGCCGGTTCTGTGTGAATTGGGCGAATCGTTGCTTCCCATCTCGACGGATCTGAAAACCGGTCGTGTTTCTGGGGGCGCTTGGCACGACCGGGCGGAGTCGTGTTTCTCGGTGTCTCGGTGCGACTCGACTCATCGATCTGTGCTGGAGAGGCAGTGGGGGAGAGGGCTTGGATGTGTGATGGAGCTCTATGGAGCTCTTATTGATTTAATATTCAATGAGAGCATAGGAACTCTTCAAGGATCCAAAGAGCTTTGGATCAAGATGTTGTGCATTTCTTTTCAGCATGGCCCACCTTCCCACGCCGGGGAAGTTGCGGAACTGGGTTCACGGACTACCGTACTACCCAGTGCAGGCAGCCAATGTGAGGATCCGCGTATTCTCTTGGCCAGCCCGAAGACTCCATTTAGGCTCACTGAAGTAAAGGAAGCTCCTGTTCGGGTCACCGAAATACCACCAAATCGTCGACTGGACTCCACCTGATGAAAACCGACGAGAAGTCCTGTACCCGTTAACGTTTTCTCTTTGTTACGTGGCACGTCACCGAACGCACAGAAAAACCAGTTGCACGGAAGTGCGTCGTACACAGAACGACTCTCCGCACGGCGTGGAGGCGTAGAACTCTCTCCGCCGGATTCCGTGCGCTGTCGCCGCTCTCTCTCTCTTTCCCCGCTCTCTCGCTGTACAGCGCCGTGCGCGCAACAACAACGGTCGGGACCTCGGCGGCAGTGGAGGTGGATCTCCAAGAGCTCATTGATACCTACATGACCATCTTCTTGGCTGGCTCCCCCGACATGAACGCCACTACCGTGGCCGAGGTGACGGGGCAGACCGTGGGTTGGGAGAACTGAGACCAGCGGCTTGGACGTGATTTCTCTCTTGTTCTTTTTTAGTCCTATCCAGTGGATGTGACAGGGGCACCCCGACTTCCTCCAAGTTCGGCACCCCGTCGAACGTGATTGCTGGTAGTACGCGTTAGTTGCTTGGGAATGCTTTGAATGGTCCTGTTTTCGTGGCTTTTGGGTCTTATACCATGTTTTAACGCTGTTTTGGAACCCTGACCCAGATAGTATCTTTATTTTGTTTAAAGACCGGTTTAGTTGATGAACGTGCACATACCATCGGTTTGGCTCTTGATCTCCTACCCTCAGCGGATTCCAACATGTAACAACCGGTAACAACGGTGGAGTGGTGTGATTCTCCTTCCTTGGTGGTTCGGATCGGATTCTGGGTGAATCTGCGTGGAATTCCGATGTCAATCATGATGAATCATAACCAATCTCATGGGACTTCTTTTTTCTCCGCACGTGTCCAGCTGTGGTTCGAAATCAAATACATCGTACCGAGCCCCATTGTACCGTGCAGACCCACTGGATTGTTTCAGCTGGCAGGTAGGGCGGCCGGAAGAAGCCCTCTTTATATCTCTGCTACGCATGTTTTGTTTCCTGGTCCAAAGCCTAAAGCTGACCGCAGGAACGTGCGAAAGTCGTGGCTTGTCTTGAGATACTCGTTGCTTGTGCGGGTTGTGGTCACCCCCATGACCACCTCATGTTGCCTGTCCACATGGCAACAAGCTGCACCATTGGACCCACCCAAAGGTGTGATTTTGCGGGTCGGGTGGTGCTCATTTCAGGTGAATCCACTTCTTGGGGGAAATCCCCTGCTGGAAAAGTCTATGTATTCCCCGGTGATTTGAGCAGATGATAGCAAATCCTTGCAAGTACATGAAGAGACCCTCCGAAATTGATCTTGGTTCGAGTTTGGGTTCAGCACCTCTATCAGAGCGAGGTCGTTTGGCCGTTCAGTCTTTGCAGCATCGACCACCTCTAGATGTAGAGGTCGGGGAAAGACACGAAGGAGTTCCAAGTCGGAAAAGACCACATTTTGGGTGCAAAAGGTGGTCCGAAATAGAGGTCATGTGACAGCAGGTTCTAGGACCCACATTTAGGGCCCGTAAAAAGGGGCCCCAAAAGCCCAGCACAGGTCGTTTGGTCCAAGAAACCACGCTCGAACTGATGTGTCTCGTTTCCCCCAAAGGGGGGGTTGGATGCCAGATCCCTCAAAGCCAGATCCAGACCCGGTTCCCAAGCCCCTTCCCATTTGAAGGCCTGGATTTGTAGGGGAGAAGTAGCATATATAGTCTTCCGTTCGACTATTTAAACAATGGGAACGACCTGTGGTTTGTAGTGTAAAACCCTTAGTTGATTCGGGATTCAGCCTATTAAATTAATGCTGGTTGGAAGCCTAGGGGCATATATAGTCGTCAACAATTTTTGGATCCTTTTGGCCTAGCTTTGCCTTCGAAACACTGGGCAAAAGGGGAGGTGGATGAGGACCTGGCTTCCCAGTTCCCAGTTCCCAGCTTCAGAAGGCCCTACCGTCGATGTGAGCAAGCCCGAAACGCAGGGTGGAAGTATGAGGCTCAGATTCCTTATGGAGCCTCATACTGAGCCTCAGCTATCCTCATGATAGACGATTTGGACTCCATTCAGCAACCAGCAAAGTGTGCAGATCACATAGGATCGTATGTATATATAATGACGCAGTCAAAGTTAGAACCTTTTTTGGAAACAAAAATTGCAGGTAAATTCTATACTAAGTTCAAAGTAAGAACATGTGTTGTATCGAACATACTTAGAACATGCGCCACGAACTGCAAAAACACATTGCACACTTAGCATTTGATGCTACTCAGCTGCAGAACAAAGAACATAGAACACGCACCACGACCATCCACACATGAAAATGTATACATACATACATACATACATACATACATACATACATACATACATA